ATGGGGTTATGCTCTGAAGATCTAGAAAAAGGTAAGGAATGGCAAGGAGTTCAGGGAGTTCAGCGAAGAAGCCATTGCAGTGCGTTCCTTTTCTTTCATTTTTTTTTGCAGCCCTCTTCTTGTTAGTGTTGCTGTTGTTGTGTACGCAATGTGCGTAAGGAGAAAGCTTGAAAGGAGCTAAAAAAAAGCGAAGAAAGCGGAGAAAGGGCTGTAGGTGATGTATGTGGGCCTATATTTGCACATGTGCCGTTAGCTCTAGCTGCTGTATGCGTGTTGAGTTTGTTATTTTCCCTCTTCTCGAGCGTCCTCTTATTTATCCTCCTCCATTTCATTTTTTTCTTTTCCTTTTTGCATAATGTCGTGGGATGGTGTGTGCGTGCATATTTATGCGTATTTGTTTGCATAGCTGATGATGTGCCAGCAGCAACAGCAACAAGAACACTTTATGAGTGCGTGCGAGCCACATTTCACCCCCCGATTCACCCACCCCCCTTTAACCCCACTTAACCCCCTGCTAAGTCCCGTTTTTAACCCCCTCTATCTGCACTCCTAATATCCTTTGGGGGCGCCATTGCAATTAGAAAACTTGCAGCGCAACTTTTTTTTTGCACCAACAACTTGTAATGCAATGCGCTAAATTGTTTGATATCACACTAACATTCGCACACTGGGAAATGTTAAGTGCAAAGTCCTGCTCACAAGTTTTAGTCCTGCACACGACAAAATAGGAATCCTTTAAATATGTGAATATTGACAGGGATGACACATAGATTTAAACACTTTGTAATCCACAAGTCATGAAATCATTTTGATTGTTCTTTACAAACTACGAAAAAATATTGTGGAGATGTTAAAGAAAGGAAATCTTAAGCATTTTGTACTAATAACGAAATATATATTGTGGAAATTGAGAAAAATACATGCTAAAAATAATTTCTCAAAAAAATTCTCAAGTTAAAATACACAGGTTTCTTTTGAAGTTAAAATTTTGGATAAGGAAAAACCTCAATTTAATCGTGATAAATATAAAACAAGCTTAATTAAAAATACATAAGTATTGGAAACATTTTTTTCCTGAACAGTAGTATTATAAGTTCAAGGTAATATACCCAAAGTTTCTCCCTGTGCACTTTACAACTGCCAGCTACGTGCTGTGAAATTTTTTCAGCGCATTCATGTTGCACGTACCGCCCATTGTTCTTGCCGCTGCTGATTCTGTGGAGTTTTTTTATTTTATTTTATTTTATTTTGTTTTTGCTGTTCTTGCTTGAAAAACATTTCTTTAATTCTTTCTTTTTTGCGTTTCTTTCGTTCGCCTGGTGTCTTGACTGCAAACCACCCCCACGTTAGGGGATGTTTATGCGCGACAGGACTTTCGTACTTTGGCAAATGACTTGACTTTGGTCAGAGAACTGAGACCAACTTTTAGTTGTTAGCCGGAGTCGGAAAAAAAACCTGAAATTAAATTGATTTTTTTGCCTTCTCTTTTGGCGGAGGAAAACAAGTCGAGCGAAAACGAACAAATACATATAATCCCAGGCAACTCTTTCAATGCTCGACAACATAACAATTTATTGTTTCAATTATATTTTTCAATTTGCGCCGACAAACAAAAGTCCGCCAAATGCAAAAAAGGCTCTCAGCTATAAATAAAATAAATAGCAAACGAACTGAAATTTGTTTTCCTCATCGCTGTGCTGTTTTTTCCTTGTATTGTGTTTGCCAGGTTTATGGACGGAATGGGGGATATATATGAAAGTTATTGAAAGTAAACATGATAAAATAAACTCCGCACAGAGCGTCGACAAAAAATTGTGTGCCACTTTTTTCGTTGTAATGCTGGTGAAATTGTCTCAAATAATATTTAAAGAAAATTAAATTGAATTTACGGCGGTTCCTTGTTGTTTTTCCGGGGGTGGCGTGAAACGAAAAACGAACAGAGGAAGGAGCAAACAGAATGATAAGCAAAAATAATCAAAAATCGATTTGGAAAGTGCGTCCCTGTTTCGCTCTCTTTTCCTCTGGCTTCTTGTTTTTGTTGTAACAATATGCCAGAATTTTCCATTTCCCATTTGTTGTCAAAATGCAATCATTTCGTTTTTGTTGTTGTTACAGCTTGATAGGCACTTTGTAAGCAAAGCACAACAAAAAAAAAAAATAAAGAAAGAAAGCAAGCAAAACAAGCAACAACTTTCTCCGGGAAACATTTGGAAATTGAAATTGTAAGGCGACGGGCTTGGCCTTACGTTTTATAAATTCTGTGATTTTGTTTGATTCACTTGACTTAAACGGATTTGGCCAAAAGGAAAACCGGCATAAAGCAGGAAACGAAAAATTGGCAGGCAATGCAGGAAATGGTACATATTGAAATTCAGAACAAGGAGAATATGTTAACTAAATAAAATATTGAAGAAAAATAAAGTTCTCTATGAAAAGTACTTTTGAAATTCTAGAGATATGAAATAAGTTACTAAGTGTGGTTTAAAAATAAAGTGATATTAATAAAAACAATACTGATTGAATAAACCCATTATAATTCTACGAAAAACCTATATAATTTAAATCACAAGTTTTTCATTAGAAAAAGAAACCAATTAAAATTCGATAAATTGTCAGATCAATTATATCCGTGATTATGTAATTATTTTCTAAACCACCTTGCACCAACCACCAATCTGTAGGCCTCGTTTAGTGCCCCATTTAGTTGACTTTTGCACCATTCTGTGCCAAAGGCCGACAGCAATTAGTAAGTTTTGTAACCTGCTGACCCTCTAAGCCATTACAGTTAAGTATTCTCGTTCAAATAGGCGTGTGTATGTATCTGTCCGCCTATGGCTGCATTTAACCCCTCGGAAACTGGACTAAATGACAACCGTTTCCTCCGACTCCGCCTCCGCCCCATATTTTCCTGCCAGTTTTGCTGGGGTGCGAATTTGCTTAGTTTGTCGCGCAGTTAGGAATAAGCCGTGAAAAGGGTCCGCCAGCGACGACGACGAGTCGGTCAAGCTGAAAAATGCACTGCAATTGCACCTTGCACACAGATACACATGCACAGCAGTTGTGCACTGCGAGAAAAAGGAGGGTAAATAATTCTGAATTTTTTAAATAGTGCTAACTGGTACTTAAAAATTTCTTATAAAATGTTTAAGATATAAAATCATTAACTAAATGGTATATATCCATTATAAAAGTGTAGAATAAAAATTAAGAATACTTCATATTCTTTAACATTAAACTAATATATATTTTGAGATCCAAATTATTTCAAAATTATTTTTTTGCTGCGGTTTGAGTACACCTAATAAAATCTTGAAAAGTCGTTTACAATATTTGGCATTTTATAATTACACCATAAATCATGTCTATCAAAAATCACCCTTTATTTCTCTTCGTGTAAGTTTAACCCCTTTTTGGCCATGCATCGCTGATATTTAAATTGAGCCAGCGGGCAGTGAAAAGTTCTGAGGGGCACCAGCAGCGGGTAGAATGCACTTCTAAAATAGAAAAAAAGGGTTCGTGGGTTCCACGCTCCTAGGACTCTGCATGTGCAGGGATATCCTTGATCTATTTGAGCTCTAACTGACTGCTTTCTATGTAACATACCTCTCCCGTTTTTTGCCCGAGTGTGAGTGGGTTGCTGTGGCAATTAGCGCCGGAGTTCGGTGTCTCGCTTTGTTGTTTGTTTATTAATAAACAATAACAGCCAACAAATTGCTTAATTGCTGGATAGCACCTGCCCAGCCCCAAGGATCTCAGCATAATGCTTCAACAGCCAAGGACCTCATTACGGGATGGATATTTTGTGTCTCTCATTAGGAGAAAAAGAGAGAAAAGTTAACTGATTTTGCACTCATTACCGAGGAAGTGGAGGTGCAAAGGGGCGGGTAATGCGGTACTTTTGTCCTTTAACTATTTCAAGGATAAGTTCTCAAAGTTCCTCTTTCTCAGCCTTGTCCTTATGCAAATTGCCATCAAGTATACGCAGCGTGGTCCCTGCCATGCGTAATTATATAACATTAATTTGCATTTCTCGCTTCTTTCCGTTCTGTTCTGTTTTTTGTGCTAGTGCAATCAATGCAAATGTTCTCGCTGCTGGCAACTTAACAAGGATGTGAACATTTATTTATTAAAATTTAACAACGCTTTACGATCAGCGCACATTTATACACACAAATGTGTGTGCAGCTCGACCCGACTGATTGCCATCGGGCAGAAAACCAGAACCACCACCAGAATCAGATTCAGAATCAGAACCACCAGATCAACCCAACCATCCATCCCATCCATCCCATCATCATCATCCACATGAGCGGCAAATCTGTTCCATAAATACAGCAACAAAAGCATTCAATTGCGCAGACTGGCAAACACTCACACACAGACAGAGTCAAGCATTTTATTATTTAATTTATGCGGAGACAACAGAACAACAAATTCTGCTGGTAAAAAAAAAGAGCACCAAAACTACCACACAAAAGATCTACCGGTACATAGATGAAAAGATACATTTGTATCTGCAGCGCAAACAATAGGAATTCTGCAAGGCAAACAGCCCAAAACAAATATTGGTCACCAAATAGATTACAAAATTGCGATAAACAATGCAGTAGGGCATATTAAAACAACTTGAAATTTAATTAAAGAACTCAAGAGATATTTTCATAGTTTTCAATATTTTTGTAACAAATAGTAAAAGCAAATTCTTTAATTTATTTGATAAGCGAAATGCGGAAATTTAGAATCTAATATATATTACCTCAAAAGATATATTATACAAAATTAAATCATGTAAAATCCACTGTTGTAAAAAAATCATTTACAACTCTTTGCAGCGCAATACCTCAATTAAAACCTTTCAAGGCTTTTAAAAACTTCCCACGCGAGCCCCATTATTAAACGGATTAAATGTGATTCAAATATATTCACCCATAATTATTAAAAAAATAAATACTTAGTGCCCCAGCAAGTGCAAATATAATTACATGAAAATGTATACGTACGGTTTTGGCTTTGGGTTCCTGCAAGAAAAAAAGATAGAAAATGAAAATAAATCAACTGTAAATACAAATAAGCTGTGATGCATAAAACAATTAGCAATAATTAAAAATTAAATAAATCTGTGAGCAGGAGGTGTCCCCTCGCAAACCAAAAATTACTCAATGCTGGAAAATAAAACCCTATATGTACATGCCACATGCCCCGTGGCACATAGCAAAAGTGTATATAGACCGACTGTCGGGCTATCAAAATATAAGCCCACTAATTGGCTGTCATGGCGGCAATTTGCGTGCCCAAACCGCCTCACCAATGAGAACCCATTAAAATGAAAAAGGCAATGAACAAAAAAAACAATGCAAATGTTAAATTATGGTTTTTAAAGTTATGGTTGAAATTTTGGTAATTAAAAGAAGTACTCATAAATCCCCGCAAAGCCTAAGCTGCTTAAAGCAAAATAATATACAGAAAAATCATTCATCAATGCCATTTAAATGGACGTGCGTGCATGTGTGTTTGAACGGCATGGGGCTTAAGTTCTGCTCCTAGGACTCTGGCTTAGGATTCTGATTCCTATTCCTATTCCGATTCCGATTCCCAATCCTTAGAGCACAATGCGAACAGATGTGCAGGCGAGCGAGTTCTGCAGATGGTCTACGAATAATGGTGTGTGCTCCCTGCAACAGATGAATATGCAATCCTTCGAGCAGGAAATAAAACAACGGAAGCTGCTTGGAATTTTCAATGGGATTTTGTGCCCACTCAAGCTACAGATGCACGGAAATAAATTAGATTCCATAAGGACTTATATTATAAAACTGCATTGTCAACAAAGTCTTTAAGACTCTCATTTGAAAATGGTTAAGAATTAAAAAAAAATACTTCATCACGAAATATAAAACTCTATACATTTCGATCAGTTTTCCTTGTTTAAACATTGAGTTGTTTTTAATGTTTTACTTTATGTATTATGTAAAATCTTCTTAAAACATTCACGAATTTATTTCTGGTGTACCTCAGCTGAAACCTAAAACAAAACTTTATCTGCCAGTCGAGTTCAGAGCATTGAACTCAAACTCAAACTGAAACTGAAAAACCCAAACTCAAACTGAGAATTCGGGGAGTGCATGGGAGGCATGCCTGGCAGCATCTTTTGGGACTTATCGAATGACAAACGCACATTTTGCTCTGCCTATAGATTGAATGATTGAATCACCGACTGAGGATGATTTTTGGAGCGAATGAGGGAGGATGGCAGTCGTGTGCCTGGCCACAAGCGACAATTAACCGAAAGACAACACATTTTTGGCCAAGCATATTTTTCCATTTTTCGGCAAAAAAAGCTGAGCCAGAAAGTGGCAAGTGATATGCCGGGGGAAGGAGATAGCAGGGCAGGATGAAAGAGGATGCCCAAGTGCAACTGGATATCCAAGGAGCACGACCACGACCGAGTATCAGATTGCACAACATGCTCATAATGAAGCACATCCAGGGCATTATCGTCGACATCGTCATCGTCATCATCATCGCCACCACCACCATACGTTGCAGTTCATGTGGCTCAAGTATCCAGCGGCGAGTGTGTGCATGAGCATTATCCTGTTTTCCAGGAGCTGGCAAGCCAACGTGCCAAAAACTGGGCACTGAGAAAAAGTCCAAGGGCCTAACTTTAACTATTTTAAGAATAAACATTTACAAATTCAACAGAATTTTGGATTCATGAATCAATTATTATTGGTTTTGAATTTTGATCATAATACTATAGCATTCTATATTATATAAGCGGAATTATACAAATATCATTTAAAGTTTTTAAAACATTTTTTAAAGAAATCATCAAACGAAATCCTAAGTCTTAAGATGGCTGGAATATTATTAACTTGCTTAAATAATCTAAATTACTTCAGGCAAGCAATTATATTAGTTCATTGTTTCCCAAAATTTAATAAGATTGCTAATAAACTCCATTTCATATAAAATATGAGCTACTTGCTGTTTTATAAAGTTAATTTTGTTTTTCTATACTGTTTATATTATATGGCCAATTTTTCCCCCAGTGCACAAGCCACCTTGGCAAGTGGTCTCCTTTTTCGCCCACTCTCTCTATTTGTTAGTGTGTGTTTGCCGAGAGTATGTCACGAACGGGTGGTGTTGGTGTGAGAGTGTGTGTGTGTGTGTGTGTAACCTCAAGTAGGAGCAATGCACTCGTCCTGGCCCAAAGAAGGACTAAGGATAAGGATACGGCGAGTGTTTCATATGAGCACATGCATGGTGGCGAGCATTTTGTATGCATGAAGCGAAAACCTTTAAGTTGTTATGGCTGTATGTTGGTTTTTAGTGACTCCAGTGCATTTGCCTCAATGAAGTTGGAGCGAAGCGTGAACTGAAAATAAGAGCCAGGAATAAAAAGGGGAGCAGATCTTGGAGTGAAAAGCATCCTTGGACAGCCCAATGAAGTCAATCACTCAAACCCCGAAGCACACAGACTCCAAATGGACTTTCGGGGTTGATTTCTTTGGCTTTCGGTAACTTTCTTTTCACTCAGACACTTTCAATATTTGCCTCGTCTTGTTGTTGATTTTCTTTTATTTGTGAAGGCGAAAAAAACGTAGAAAAAAATGTTCAAATTTTAATGAGAAAATTCCTAAGAAAAACTGCATATTTAAAGAAGAAAAAAAATACCCCAGACAAATTGAGCGACACAGGAAATATCCTCTTAGATAGGCCCGTCCAGAGATTTCTCTTCATTTTTTATTTGGGGCGGGGAAAGATGGAAAACCGAGGTGGGAGTGAGTTCGCTAAGCAATTCAAATAGCCAAGTTAATGACTAAGCCCGAAGGTCTTTTCTGCTGATTTGGGAAAGTAAAAAAAGAAATTACAAAAAATATTAAACGAAAAAATACAAGAGGGAAAGCTGGCCGGAAAGGGACAGACTTGGAGTTTATCATAAAGTATGAGCTATTTGAGAAAGATAAATAAGTCGAGAAGTGCATCGATCCGCATTCGATGGGAAACCCAAGAATGAAATAATTCACGTTCAAAATTTATCGCCATTAAGAATAAAACCGGACCAAAGAAGTTGGACAGCCGGGACCAGCTGTGAGTTTTAGCTGAGAACTTTCAGGCTGGAAAAAAAACCGCGAAAACCTTGTCATTATAAAGTCCATGGACAAAGGCATAAATATATGAGCACATGAGTAATTTTAACCTACACTGTCCTACAAAGAATTAAACACCTTATCTGCCCGCCTGTTACAGAAGAATTGAAAGGTCTGATATATTTTACATTGGTATTATAATTAAATAATTTTTGAGATCCGCTTAGTCTTTTACATGATATTTCTTTTTCTATTAAGGGATATAACAAATTATGAAATATGATTTAACTTATTAATTTAAGGATCTCGTTTCGTAACTTCAAAGTTTTTATTGAGTAAAACATTATTTTTTAAATAATTTTGATGGAAAATAAACAAGCATCTAATAAGGATAAAAAACAAAAGTTCTATAAGTAAAGTGGAATTAACTTGGAGAATTTTTAAGATTACAGAAAACCCCAACCCAGTGACATAGTGTTCCAGTAGTTCAGCCGACATGTGAGGCAGTTGGACAATGAAACCCCTGATAATGATGTTGCGGATGGCGATGATAAAGAAAAGGAAGATATAAAAAGTAAAGCGTCAATTGTCCCGAGGAGGAAGAAGAGGAAGAAGGGGAAGGAGAGGAAGAGGAGCTACTCCAAATTGGCGCTGCACTATCGCGTCGCGTATCTTGTAGATACCCTGTCCATATTGACATGTCAACTGTTGCTCTTTCTCGGCGAAACTGCGAAATTTACAACTTTATCTATGTGTGTCGTCGGAAAAGAGGAGGTTTCCGTAGAGGGGGGAGGGTCATAAAGAGGGGGAGGGGGTTTCGCAGAAGGGGAGGGGGTACGGGTCCATAGAGCGGTATAAGTAGAGATCTCTGCGTGCCATTTTCTCGTTTGACGGCCTTTTGTATAGCGCCCGATCTCCTCGCTCCTGTCAACCTTAATTGTCCGTTCGTGCTATCTCTTTCCTGCCGTATGTCCCCCTCTCTTTTCCACACTCTATCCACCTCTCTGTTGCACACACTCTCATATAGTTTTTCTGTCTTTTTTTTTTGTTTCCTGTTTGCAGTCCGCTGATCGCGACTGAGAGACAAAACGCTGCGCACTCGCTTATTTATTTATCTCTGTCTGTCTGCGTGTATCTGTGTGCGCCGCTTTGTTTGTGTATCTGCATCGGCATGTGTGTGAGTGTGTGTACTTGTATCTGTGTGTGCGATCAAAAGCCGCGTTTGTAACTTGTGAACATCTGCTCCTTTCCTTTCCTTTTATTGTTGTTTTCGTTGCCTCGTTTCGTTATTATCGTTATTTTTATTGTTGTTCTTATTTTATATATGGCATATTGGGCATTTGTTGCTGTTGTTCTTGGACGTCTGTATTTGTATTCTGAGGCCCCGAGAAAATAACGCCGCAATGTGGAAGCGTCTGTCAATATTGAAAATACTCCAAATACCCTGATTATTTGACCAGGTTTTAAGATTTGGCAACCAGCTGTGGGGGAAAATTGGAACAAGACCTTGGATAACTGGCATATGAAAGAACTTCTAGTCACTTGAATGGAGCACTTATAAAAATATGAGATTATATCATTAGATAGCAGGGTAGTAACCAAAGTTAAGGCTAAAATTGGTATCATAATTGCTGTTTAATTTGCGATAACAACAACGATTCATTTTTAATAAAACTATATATCTTTCATTTGCTCTAAGTGGCCAAAAGTGAGTTCCAAAAACAACCTATTTCACCCATTCCACCATATTCCACTTTAAAAATGTTATGTTTAGAAAATTGAGATGCACACATATCCTTGGCAGCAGATCACTTGAAACCCCTTAATGGTCCTTGGGCCATTGAACTTGTTCCCAAGCCTCCACTTCACCTCGAATCCACATCCACCCATTCTAAATTCGAGTGACGACATGCAGGCGCAATTTGAGATCCCAGATTCGGGGACCTCTCGCACACACATGTGCAACCTGATTTGCGACCGCTCAAAGGACACGCTCTGCCTGCGGCTGCGGCATCTTAAGTGATTTCGAAAAGGAGCTGGGAAGCGGCAAAAGTATCTGGAGGATGCGCGGATGTCGGATCACTCAGCCCAGATACTCAAATACTTGGATACTCGGATACTCGAGTGCACCTCGTACGCTGCCACTTGGGCACACACACACTCCTCTCATTGTAGGTTACTAGTTAAATCTTAAATCGAGGCAGCTGGAGAAAGAGAAAGAGACGGCTGCCCGGGGGCAGAAAGAGACGGGGCGAGGCACTTGGCCAGGGAACATCTGTTGCGCTGACATAAATCCTGAGTGACTGACCGCTGGTGCGAAAGACCGCGAATCTTGAATACGAACGTGGATGTGGATGTGGATGCGACTTGGCCGCCGGCTCTCTTTTGAGGACCAAAACCAGTTTCAACCGATTCCCAGCTGCCCGTTTAGGCACAGTAGTTCGAAAATGAAAATTTCTTGGTAAAATTTAGTTAATATTACGAGGCCTACAAGTAAAAATAGTGTTCCCAATGCAATTAGATAAAGTAAAAAAAAAAACATGGCAAGAAAACAATTATGTTGGTTCACTTTAAGGTAAGATTTCCAAAAAAAATAGCATATAATCAAAAAAACTTTTAAAATATTTGAAATGCGAAGAATTTAGTAGTTTATTTTATATTATTTTATATTATCTTGAAATATTGGATCGCTGGTTTCGTCAGAAAAAGGTAGCTTTTTAGATAAGTGAAAGACTCTTGACTCTTTTGTAAGTCTTTCATAAATCTGTCTCATATCCTAAAATCCATTTTAATAACTTAGTTAAGAAAGTCACTTCCACTTGATTGAATATCCCAGAAAACCCACTGTGCCACCGATTTCATTGAGTAACTTTTGCTTTGCCTGTGAATGAATCTGTGAGGTACTCCATGCACACCGTTGCTGAAGTCGGTGGATTGGAGTCTGGGGACGGGAAACCCAGGTCGGAACTCACCTTCTTCTCGGTGAGCTTCTCGCAACGGCGCTGCTTGCAGATCTGGTGGCTCTTGTCGTTCCTGCAAGGAGCGCACTCGCCGCAATTGTCCTTTCGCTGGCATCCCACGCATTCGCCGCACCGCTTGCGCTTCTTCTTCGACTGAAAGAGAGAGCAGGAAGAGGAGTTGTTGTCGTTGGAGTGGTTGTGGTTGTGGTGGTGTTGGTGTGGGTGGTGGTGTGGCTGGTGGTCGTGGTTGTGGGCGGTGGGTGTGATTGTGATGGTGGGCAGTGGCAGTGGCAGTGTGGGTGGCGGAAGATGGTGGCGACGACCGTAGGCCTGTTAATCGCAGCGGTTGCCAGTTCGCCCCGTTTCGCTCGTTAAGCGGTGGGGTTGTCGAAGATTATTGGGGATATCACTTCGATTGGGGGACATTTTTTCAAATTTATGCTGAATCTTTTTTATCTTTTTTAAAAAGTAATTTATTTTTATGATTTTTTAAAAGGTTTCTATTTTTAATGACTTTATTGATGATAAAAAAATGCTAGTTTTTTAATTTCATATAAATATAAATGCTAAGAGAAAGTCTATTGACTTTTTCGCACAAATAATATCTAGTTCTCTGAAGTCAGTTTACAGTTAGTTGGAGATGTTATTCAATTCAGTTGTGCAATTAAAAACAGATATGTTTCTTGATTCATAATATTTCATCGACTAAAGGAAACTAAGTTCATTCAAGGCTAACTGATTTGAAATGGATTCGAATATTGTAAACAATATTTGCAATAACTGATTCATTTATTCATTTTCAAGAAAAGGTTACGAAAAACATAATTTTCATTATCAACCTGCTGTCTTTTATAATGTTTAAATGCAATTTAAATCCACCGATATAGGTATATATCCCGTAATCTTCGACAACCCCACCCACCGATCACTTACCTGCTTGTCGCATCCGCTGGCATTGGCATCGTTGCTATCGCCCATCCCGAGCGCACTCAGAGGACTCTTGAAGTTGGCCGTGCTGGAGACGGCGTCCACTTGGCCAGGATTGCTGGGGTCTACGTCCATGCCGCTGGCCTCGCTCTCGGCACTGGACTCCAGCGAATTGGGCCGCTGTTTCCGGCGCTCTTTCTTCCGGGCCTCCAGTCGGGCGATGGGCGATTGCAGCAGCTTCTCGACCTTGACCGGCGTGGTGGTGGTGGGCGTGGGCTGTTGGGTGGTGGTGTGCGGCGTGTGGCTGCCACTCCCACTTCCCGCCGTCGCCTGCGGATAGCTGTTGTTGCTGTTGTTGCCATCGTACGAGGTGGGCGTGTGCATTCCCATGGGTATGGGATGCGGCTGGCCGTGCTGAAGCGGATGGTGGATCAGACCGCCGCCTCCGCTGTTGCTGAGATCAAAGTCCTCCTTCTTGAGCAGCATCTCAAAGTCGCTGGCTCCCGATCCTGGTTCCTTCTTGACACTCAGTGGAGTGAATCCCGGATAGAGTGGTAGTTCTGCGTAGGGTGTGGGATAACCAGAGGCGCCTCGATGATGATGGTGCGGATTGAGGGCATGGTGATGGGCAAACGCGTTCGGCGGAGGTGGTGCCGGAAAGCTGCCCGCTGAGGGTGGAGTGATGCTGGTCTGCAGACTCGATAGCTGGGTCAATGGAGAGCCCACGCTCATCATTCCGGGGGAACTGACTGAAATACTAGCCGGCGACATGGCCACCGTTTGCAGGGAGCTCATTGTGGTTGGTCCCACGGAGCCGGTTACCGAGTTTGGTCCTACGGAGCCGGATACTGAGCCGGGAGCTGCGGTACCAGGAGCTGCTGCTGTCGAACCTGGCGGTGCTATGGGCACTGGCATGGGTGTACCATCTGGTAGTAATTGCTCATTGAAGCCATGAAACTGGCTCTGAAACGAGGGCAGCTTGGAGAAGGGTTCGAAGCCGCTCTTTAGCTGCAGATGAGGTTGTGTCTGGGGTTGTGGACCATTGTCCTTGGACTCCATTTCCCAGGGACGCGTATAGCTGCCGTTCGAGTTGGAATTGGAGTTCGAATTCGAGTTGGCGTTGGCGTTGGCGTTACTAGTTGTGTTATTGGGATTACCCGGATTCCCTGGATTCCCCGGATTTCCTACTGCGGTGGAGGCGGCGGAAATGGCATTGGCATTGGCATCGCCGTGTTGCCGCTGGCCAGAGTTGCCACCGGTTGCAACATTAGCATGATTGCTGCTGCCCAAAGGCGCTGGAACCGTGGTATTGCTGCCGTCGGTGTTGTTGCTGCTGTTGCCGTTGGTGTTGCTGGTGGCGGCCGCTGGCTGTTGATGATGTTGCTGCTGCTGCTGCCTGGCATAGTAGTCCCAGTGCTGCTGCTGCTGCTGCTGCTGTTGCTGATGCTGCTGCTGATGTTGTTGCTGCTGCTGCTGCTGGAGGTGTTGCTGCTGCGGATAGTGTTGCTGGTAGTGATGGTGGGGATGCGGGTGGTGGTACGGCGTGGTGTAGTGCTGACTGAGGCTGCTCAGCTGATTCAAGTGGGTGTTGTGCAGCGAGGATACGGTGGCCTCCACGGATGCGGCTGATGATGCTGCTGATGTAGTTGCTCCCAAATTGCTGCTGTCGGCGGTAGCACCTGTGCTGCTCTGGGCTAAAATTGAAGACGCCATTTAAGCTCAAACTCTGGCATGGCTATGCAGTTGTCTTTAAAAACTGCGGGGCTTTGTACTGATTTAAAGATTCGTTATAGTTTTGTACACTTTTCGGTTCACTTTTCGTTTGTTTCTCTGCTTTGTGAGGTAGTTCTTCTTTAAAAATGTTTCCGATTCGACTGGTTTTTGTTTGTTGGCTAGTGTAAAACACTCTGATTATATTTGTATACTATAATATAAGTTGAAGCTACTCCAAGATTTGTATTTCGTTTTTATATTTTTTTGAACTCACTGGTTTTGCGTGTTTTAATGCAAAGTTGATTATTTACTTGTTATGGTGTTCTTTTCTTTTCTTTTGTAAAGTGCTCGTATTAAATTGAATTGTTTAAAATTTTTTAAGATTGGTTGTTGGTTGTTTTGTACTTTATTCTTTTGTTTGTTTGTAAAACGGCAGCTAGGCAAAAATTTGTATTTTGATATTTGATTTTTATTTGTAGCAGACTTGGTTTGGTTTTTTTTTTTTTTGTTTTTAAAAAATCTTTGTAAATTTGTAATTTGTAAAATTTGTATTTTGTATGCGTTGTTGTTGTTGTATTTACTTTGTTAATTACTTGCGTTTTGTTATTGATAATATTTGATGCTTGCTTGTTGTTGTAAATTGATTAAGTTTTTGTACTCTGGTTTATGCTTCGTTTCTCAATTGAATTTGCTTTGTTAATATGTCGTCGGATATAAAAATAATTTAAGTATTTATGTCTAGTAAATTGTACTTAATGTGTAGGCCTAAAAATCTTTGTCTTCCGTTTGTTTGTTTGTTTGGGTTCTGGACTTAACAATTAATTAAACATTAGCGCGTTATTTGTTATAGGCTTTAATAGTAATAATATTTTATATTTCATATAAGTTGTGTGTTTAGCTTAATTCATTTTATGCTTTTTTTGTTGGCTTGGCTTTCAATTTTGATTGTGGGCCGAAAAGGGGGTTTTTATTTTGTAAGTTGTTTAAAGATCTTCCAAAGTATTTTGTTGTTGTTGCGCCCGTTCTTCTCAAATCCTTTGATTAAAAGCTGTAACAATGAAGAGAAAAAATAAATGAAGTTAGTAAAGTTTCGTATAGAGGTGTTTCTGAGTTTCTTATAAAAATATCCTTGCTGCAAAGTTTTCTTGTGCTTACACTTTTGTTGTTGTATTTTCTGGTTCTCTTTCCCTTTCTGGCCTTAAACATCTACAAACTTCAACACATAATTATGGTCTTTGACTATATAATGAGCGGCCAAGTCAGCGAGGCAGGAAGCGGCAAAAAAATAATAAACAAGAAAGGAAAGCAAACTTCGGGCGGAGCCGAAGTTGATATACCCTTGCAGAATATTCTGTAAATTATATTCTCCAAAATTATTTATATGATGCATTCTTAATACTCATAAAAAATCCCAACTTCCCAACATCAAAAACACCAAAGTTATGGCATTTCCAATCGTTCAGTTATATGGCAGCTACAAGATATAGTCGGCCGATCCTTATGAAATTTGGTAGGTCGGATTGATTGGCGAAAAATTAAACCCATAGATAATCCCAACTTTCTAACTTTACAAACACCAAAGTTATGGCATTTCCGATCAATCAGTTATATGGCGGCTATAGGATATAGTCGCCCGATCCTTATGAAATTTGATAGTTCAGACTGATTGGCCAAAAATAAAACCCATAGAAAATTACAACTTCCTAACTTCAAAAACACCAAAGTTATGGCATTTCCGATCGTTCAGTTATATGACAGCTATACGATATAGTGGCCCGATCCGGCTCGTTCCGACTTATATACTACCTGCAATAGAAAGACAACTTTTGGGAAAGTTTCAAGCAGATAGCTTTAAAACTGAGGGACTAGTTTGCGTAGAAACGGACGGACGGACAGACGGACGGACAGACGGACGGACAGACGGACGGACAGACGGACAGACGGACAGACGGACATGGCTAGATCGACTCTCCTGGTGATGCTGATCAAGAATATATATACTTTATAGGGTCGGAAATGTCTCCTTCACTGCGTTGCAAACTTTTGACTGAAATTATAATACCCTCTGCAAGGGTATAAAAACGAACAGCACAAAAAATGAGCTAAAGGACACTCACTTCTGGCTTTTTATTGCCGCTGCCGTTGTTGTTTTTTCTCGTTTTTTCTCGTTTTTTGGCTTGTAAGTTATGCTGCCAAGTTGGTTTTGGCTTTGTAAAGCCTCGCTCACACACACAGTTGCACACACACTTGCGTGGCACACTCACACATACCATCACACAAGCGTATTTCAGTTGCCTTCAACGCCGTTGTCATTTTCTTGTCTTTTTTCGCCATTTTTTGCCCCGCTGTTTGTATCTTTTTCTTTTTCTTTATTTTTATTTATATTATTTTTTTTTCTGTGGCACAGGTGTACTTTTGGTTTCTTTTTTTGTTGCCGAGCGCGTCCTTTGGCTTTTTGCATTTGGCCAGCGAACATTTCGTTGCGCTTCAGAAAGTTCATTGGGCTCGGAACCTGGGCTTTTTCATCACAATCATAATGATGATGATGATGATGATGATGAGGATGATTGTGACGTGTGAGGATGAATATTATGCATGCACTGGATGTGCCTAAAGCTGCACCAGTTTTTGAACATAAGCTGAGGTGCATAAGTGCATGGCTCTTGAGCGTTAAAGTGAGTGAAAATGTAGAATTAATTAGCTCGGTATAATTAGAGTGCTCGAAAATTTGAAGGTCTCCTTATCTTAAAACTGATGGTTATATGTAATTTGGAACTGATTTATTTTGATGTAATAACTGAAGTAACCTGAATCTATAAATTTTTGTATTTAAATATAATTAAAAAGAAGTTCTCTACAAGTTTTTTGCCCGCAATTGAACCTTTAAAAAAAAGATATTTAATTAAACATAGCATTTATCTGACATTGTTAAAACCATTTGTCTTGAGACTCAGTGATTAAGTTCTTCAAATACATTTTTTGCAGATTTAAAACCATCTTTCATAAGGTAGTTAAAGTTGGTTTAAAGTTTTACAAAATTGACGTTTTGTAAGTTAAAACTCAGGGGGCGATATGGTTACGTTCCAACCTACTTATGATGTTTCCCCTGTAATTTCCCACACTAAAAATAAATATTTCGCATCTCTGTGCACAATTTCACCCCCAAGCTTTGAAATGGCGAAACTTTTCGCCTGATTTCGGTTGACAAGTCAACTGAGTCATCTGCCCCATTGTTCTTGTCCTCCGCAATTTCGCTTTTTGGGTTCCTTGAGGTTCTCCTTGCCTCGAGTTGCTCTGCACATTGTTGCAGAACGACAATTAAAGTCTGATTATTTTGTCGACTGCAATTTGCGTGCTGCAATTGCCCTTGCCCCCCACCCTGCCCCTCTCGCTCCCTCCTCTCATGCCGTCTCACTCACATTATCTTTGTTGCAGTGCCTTCAATAAAAACGGTAAAAGGCCAACGGCCAAGCCAAGCAAACCAACTAAAAAAAAAAAAGGAGGAAAAAGCGGAGAAGAGAACCTGCAGCGAAGGAAAAAAAAAACACAAAATGTTGCAGCTGCCACAATTTGCTGCACTTTCCGTTTTATGCGATTCCGTTTCGCGTTTCCACTTCTGGCCTTTCATCCTGTCCTGTTCTGCAGCTGTAACTTCTGACTCGTCCTCCGCCCCTGCCCCCCTCCCCCCTTGGTCCTCCCTTTCCTGGGAGAGTTACGAGTCTTACGCTCGACATGGCGCGATAAAGATCCCGATCCCGATCCTGATCCCATGCCCAGCGATCGCCGGCACTCGCGATTTGACGAAATTGGGCCAACGAGTTGGGAAAATGGCAACATGTGCAGACTGCAATTAGGGCTTCCTTTTTCCCTGACTTCAGTCAAATCCCGACTACACAGAGAAAGGTTTTGGTATTTTATGGTGACTAGGTCTAATACATAATATGATATCTTAAATGGAACTCAAAAGATAGTTTTCTGAATCTAAAATATTTAAACTATACGAATATATTTATTTTATATTTGTAGAAATATATTTATTTTATATTTATAAAAATATATTTATTTTATATTTAGAAAAATATATTTATTTTATATTTATAAAAATATATTTATTGTATATTTATAAAAATATATATACTTCCCAAAGATATAGCCATTTCCTTCTGGATTTCCGCTACTGCCAAGTGATATAACCCCGAAAGTTATATAAGTTGTTTGCCAAACCATTCTTGGCACTTAAACCATCCCCAATCGACTGTCTAATGCCTATCTAATCTTATCTTGCGAAGCTCCCAAGCGAAGTTTCAATGTTATGCACATACGGGTTTGGTCTATATAAACAGGGATTTCTATTTCCAACTGGCCCAGTATGGGTGTATGTTCGAAAAAAAAAGAAGTAAAACCAAGAGAAATAAAACGAAGTGAGGAACAATGACCGCAATTCACTTAAATTTTCTTGTTTGCTGCTCACGCTTAATGCAGCACATTTTTGCAACATGTATGTACAATGTACGTACAACATTCTTTATTTTTTTCGCATTTTGAATTTGCAAATTAAACACGCAGTCCAGACGCGTACAGAAGTACCATATACACGAGCGTTTATATGCGACCGAACAATGCGTCATTTGGAAAACAAAGTCGCTGTGGAGTCGCTGTGGAATGGAAATGGCAGCAGGCGGCATAGAATCTAGGTGACTGCGAGGGCTGTTTTTTGGCAGTATACCACATATATATGTTATGCGGAGAGTATCACAGGACGAGGAACTAGGCTACACACACACACAGACGAGGCAGTTGCATGTGCAAATGAGGAGAGCAAGTGAAGCCGCAGGACGAGAAACAGGAACAGAAGAGGCAGCAGCAACTGAAACAGGAGCAGAATCGGGCACAGGATCTGGGGTTTCAGGTGTATCCAGAGGGAAACCATGCTACCTGTGCGCTGTTTGACTTTCCATTTGTTTGTAGTCAGACGGGGCACGAAAAATGGGAGAGAAAAGTGGAAAATATGATGGCAATATCAGATGGAAAACCCTGCATACAAGCTATTTTCATTTTTTAGATTATCTGTTTTGGAATGTGTTTGCCATTTCATATTTTTTTTAATTTAAAATATGAAATAATTCTATATACTGCACTTATTTTACAGACACTATTCAAATTTGAAACTAAGTATAACCATTTTACAAAATCTTATGGAATAATCATTATATCAAAAGCAGAGAAGTGTAATTTTTTTATATTATAAGAAATGTCCTTTTGAAATTTTTATCTGACGTATCTGATAGTTTTGGTATAAAATTTAAAGCCAGATGGTATTAAATCATAGTTTCAACATAAAGTTTAATTATGAATTCTAGGAATTCCGGTTAACCACACGAATCTCAATACTCCCTCACCCACAGCCTTCCCCATCTTTTGATAACAAGTGCAACCAACGACAGTTGGGCAGGAGCTTGTTCCGCCCATCCCTTTGCAGAATCCTGCAGGACTCCCTCACCCCTCACC